TTTATGCTAACATATGCAAATAAAAAAGAGCATTTCTGAATCTCACTGCATTCCTGGAAGCTGCAATACTCCCTTTCCCTTACAGAGGTATACAAAGGCAACCAAAGAACGCACAGACCAACAAAACTCAAGGGCAGCTTGAACCTTTGTTTAAAGAGACCCTGCTGGAAATGAAGACAACAAAATGCATTGTTAGGATTTAGCCCCACAGTAGAGGTGCCAGTGCAGGAAGTGGTCCTGGCACCCACATTAGCTCCTCAGTAAGAGCTCTTCAGAAGCCAGATCCTTCAGGCTGCTCTGAGATTAAGTTTTGAGAAAGATTTTCCTGAGGGCAAAAAGGACTGGGCCCTCCTTTCCTACACTAGAGAGCCCGTGGCTTACCTGGTTCTGTACCATGTTAACCCAGGGTCCCAGCAGCTGCATTTCCAGGAAAAAAGGTGGCTACTGTTGACAGCAAGGAAGTAAGACCAGATTCCCAGTGGTCACAACCACACTTGGTATTAAGTCTGTAGCACATCCAAAGCCCACAACAATGGAAAAATGGAAGAAATGCCCATCAGTGAGCTCACACACAAGAGAGGACTTTAAAACAGATGAATTCTCAGGAAGGACTGATGCTAACAAGACTCTATGAAATCCACTCCAGCCTGGCAATGAAGAAACACTAAATTCATAGTGGTCAAGCTTTTTTTTTTTTCTTTTTTATTTAAAATATCCTTATAACCAATTGACATACTAGATAACAATGTATACATTCCAGTGGTGCACACATAATGACCTATGGCATGAATGAGTAAAAAAACCACAATGTTCTCAGTAATGCCCCACCAACAGCTTATTTGGAGGGAATAAAGGAAAGCAGGAAGAGGTATCAAATGTGGGAAGAAAAAAAAAAGTACAGTTTTCCCCAGCATTTTTAATGGTGTATCTTCCCCTTCATATTTCTTGGGTCAAAATAAAATTAAGAATATACTTCAAAAGGGGCAGAAGGAATGATCACAATAATTAGGGTTTTTTCTCAACTTTAGTAATAAAAGTTAAAGAACTCTCAAAAATAGACTAGATATTGGGCCTACAAAAGTAATTCATCTGTATGCAAAGCTTACCAAGAATTATTCCTTTTGTAAAATGTAAAGGATGAGCTGACATTACTAGTAAGCTATTTTTACCTACAAAACCAGACTACAATAATAAAATCACCAATTTACAGCTAGCACAATATTCTAGATGTACATTACTGTACACAAGCTATATGTTACACATGACCATCTTATGTGAAATCTATAAGAAACATACTTACTGATATTGTCTCAACATTGGCCAGTAGGTTTATTTTTCTAAAGGAAGTGTATTTCTCTATTCACATTCAGTGTAGTTCCAATAGCATGGGTTAGCTTTGCTTACATAAGAAACATAGAAAGTTTGTGTGAGGTAGTTCAAGAAAACCTATCTTAATTTTTAACTGCAGAAGTAGAAACACAATTTGATCTGATTCATGACACATTTCTGTAATGCAGAGATATCTAAAGAGGAGAAGGGAGTGAAAGAGTTCATTTAAAATACCACTCTTATCCAGTGCCCTTAACTAAGAATAAATTAAATGAAAATTCGGGTAGGCAGTAGAGTCTTATCACATTTCTTCATTAAAACCCTCTTTCTAATCCTCCTGAAAAATGCAGACAGTTCTGCCTCAGCTCCAGTCCTCAAACTAAATATGTAAAAAATAAAGCATTAACAGGAAAATAAAATGTAACAGCATGGACACACTGCTGTCAACAGCAAATAAAAACAAACATACCTAGAAACAGTAATTCACTTCCATTAGCAACTGGAAACAATAAAACCAGGTGTAAAGTGAACAACCTTCTCTCGCCCCTTTCCCCTCTAATCTTAATTGAGAAACAGTTAATGTCATATACTTTGGATCCCTGGCTGGATAGGAACCATCCTCCTTGTACAAGCTTTTACATTGTTTTCCTTTACACAGTGTTGAGATGAATGCCATATACACTAAACCAGGGCATTATACTCATCCAAAGGCCTGTCAAGGTGCTTAATTTTTGCTCTCTAACCAAACAGCCTGTGTTCCATAAAACCAACCCACATCAGTAACACCCTGCTCACTCACACACAGAGGCAGCAGAGGGTGCCAGTGCCACAACCACCTTGAATAGAGCTCCCCCAATCTGAATTACCAGCTGGGCTTAAACCACATCACCTCCCTGAACGCACACCTGCAGGCTGGCAGATGGGGACTCACCACTATCAATTTATGCTGATGCTGTATTTGTATCTAGCTGGAATTCCTATCCAGAACAATACTACTGCATATAGCATAGTAAGGTTCTTCAAAACTACAAACCCAAGCCACACAGCACCCACATAGGGAAAAGTGCCACATCTGTTCAGTTTAGCAGGATGAATACAGCAGAGGTGACCTGGTAGTCAAGTTGGTCTTAAGGCTGTTCAGCTGATGGGTACAGCTCCAGCAGTTCAGCTTGTCACACATAAGAGCGCACAAAAGCCTCAATCCTGACCCCATTGTCCTGCATCAACAAAAGACTTCACAGAGCAGAGGTGCAGCACATGGTGGCAACACTAATTCCACCTCCCCCTTTATTTCAAATTCTTGGAAGAACCTATTTCTACAAAAAGAGAGGAGCTATTATTTTATCTTTGATGCCTACCACAGCTCTGACCAGAGAAGGTGGAAACTAACCGAGTCTTGTCCAACTTTTAACCTGATCGGACATAAGAAATCAGATGGCTCACTGTAATTCCATCCCTACCAACTCCCAGTGGATTGGAACAGCCCTAGAAGACGAAGGTTGCATGAACTTTAGTGAAGCCTGTTGTCATGAAGAGATTTTGGAATTACAGACTAAAATAAAGCTTAATAATACTTCTTTAAGAATAAAATTGTACAGTGTATTAGATAGTATATAATCTAACATCATAACAGTAGACAAAGGCAGCTGAACTCCAGCTGCCCATTAGTTTGCTATCAGTGGCAGTGTACAACTATTTCTGAAATAATTTTATATTTCAATAAATAAAAAGGGAAGTTAAAACTAGCACGTTGTTGCAATAATTTGGTTACTGAATCTGAATTTACTATCGCTTTGATTTGCCTAAAATTCAAGCAACTCGGGGTGGGGGGGAAGCAACACTGCTTTGCAGATGGTGCCAAAAGTGAACTGTAGGTTCCCACAGGCAAAACTCTCCTTACCGAAGTAATCCCTTTAAGTACAGTTCACTCACACTGCAATGGGTTGCTGTGGGCAGTCCCACCCATTCATAAACCCAAAATATTCTATGATTAACCCTACCTTAGAGAAGAAAAACTCAGTTCTCCTTAGAGCTCACGAACTCAGTGAAGTTTTAAAAGACAGCACACTGTTGTAAAACCTAGGAACTTCGTTTTTAAAGCTATTTTTCTTTGGGACACTGGAAAGCAATAGCAAAAATTATTTCAAAGTTTCAAAATATTTCAGTCATCACTGCTGAAATCTGGAGGGGTCCAAAATAAGTTTACATGGCAATTATATTTACCAAATTCTGTTCTTAATTGCATTTACAGGCATCAGAAGTTGATTTTGTCAGTCTTGACTTCATTACACTGGGCTGACCTAAATATCATTTGACCCTATGTAACAATGGAGTACTGTTGTATGACCAAAATTTTGGCTTAATTCACAGCTTAAACTTTGATAAAAAAATCCCTATAAAATAGACTGTTCTGTCGGTCTCTGTTTAACTTGAGCAGATTTTCTATGTTCCAGTGCTAGATGAATCCAAACATGTCCTGCCTCGTCTGAGGTAACACAGAGTTTGGCAGAATCCTGTAAAAATAATTGCCTTAACAAACATGGTTTAGAAAGGCAATATTGAAATATCAGATACAAGTGAGGAAAGCAAAATTACACGCACACAGCACTTATCAGTAGTCTAGCCAGGCCAGGAAAACCGAATTTAAGCCATCTTTGAGACATTACCATTACTTGTAACCCTGCATGTTTTCTAAGAACATATATTAGATATTGGAACCATTACTATCACTTCTATTTTTTCTGAAACTTACTGCAAAGATGATTTTTCATCTTTCAATTAGAACTTCAAAAACATACCTATGTAACCCAACAAGCAGAAGGAACCACACTGAAGAACATCTGTCATTCCTGGATGACCTCTGTAGCCAGTTATACTATTTGCTTATGCTCTGTGCCTGGCAAGACTTCTGTATTCTTTTATGCTCATTTTTGTGAACATTACTAATTTAAATTCCTCTTCACATTCTAATTCACTACACAAAATATGCATCTACGCAAGGCAATCAATTATACAGCCCTAGCTTCACTAAAAATCTGCATTTTCCAAAGGAATAAATTCTGAATGATCGTAAAACTCATACATAAACTTAAGTCAGGTTACACATAAATCATTCTGTAAATATAAAATGTAAACAGTTAAAATACTTCTGTGAGGAGCAGCACCATTTTACATGACTATTTAGTAACTGTTCTATATATTTCAATATATGTTTTGTTTAAAAAGTGTATTGAAACCCAGAGCATCAGTGCTGAAAACTACTGAATATTTATGACTTATAATGAACCATTATTAAGATTTCTGCTACACTGGTCTCATGGTGAAATGAAGATAAATATTATTTTATACAGCACTACTTCTCCCTCCTTTGGATGGCATATATTGCTCACTTAATGCATTAGCTACAGAAATCCTGAGGTTCTCCTATGGTTTTTAGCAATCAGTTACTTTTGGTGGAGAAAGAACAGCTGAAGTTTTGCCCCACTGCATTTGTGTCATTCCCTCTTCTACCCTAAAAGCACTTGCCTTAGTAGACAAAACTAGCAAGAAACAAAACTCCCAAGAATCACATATTAGATGTAAGTATAGCTACAGCATATTCATTTTCCCTCTTGGCAGTCTAGACATCCTGGATACGCTTCATTTTGTGTGTACAAAAACAGGCTACAAGCTAGAAGTAAACGGTTTATTGGCATTGCAATGTATTATTCATGAAGTATCCTCGTGTTTTATGGCGATCACAAGATTTGGCATGCCACAACTCTGCAGAAAACATCACATTACTTTGTTAGGCTAGATATTTCTGCAGCTTTGAAGATATGCTTTGCTTTCTTAAGTTCATAAAACTGTTCAGATGAGATTAGTTTGCCAAGGATTGTATACTGTTTCTCTAAAAAAAAAATTCACTAATTGTTGCTTTTGCTGAAGTATTACAGACAAGTGGCCAAAATAAAAGAGGGGTTTGCTCACTGCCAGCACCACAGTAGTATGCCCAAAACTACAGCTGGCTGCAGTGAATTCCCTCCCCCTCCACCTGGACATTATGACCAAGCATAAAACTTTGAAGGATATCATGAACAAAACATCTGGAATAAATTCTAATTAAAAAATTGAAAACCTATAAAATCTTAAATAAATCATTATATGGTAATGACCACAACATTAATATGTGCTTCGATAAAACAAATCTTACAAATTCAGTAAAAAAAGATCAGCAGCATAATAGTAAAGCAAATATGCAGATTTTAAAACCACAATAAAAATTATCAGGTTTAATATTTTACAGTTAATTACAGCAAAAAAGTGGCTGCTTTTAACACAACTTACAGTTTAAAATTACAGCACTTTATGATGAATTCTACGATTATTTTTGAAAAAACACTCAAAAATACCACCAAATTTTAAAGGTGCCCTATTAATGACTAAAAGGACCCCCCTCCCACCCCCCAAAAGACCAAGTAGTCATCTACAGCAACCCAGAGGTCCAGCTGAGGTTTCTAGACTGCTGTCTGTATCAGAGGCCAATGTTGGATCTGTTGACATTGAAGACACATCATTGACAGATGATGATGAAGATGGATGTTGAGAGCCATTGATCATTGCTGCACCTGTGCTATGAGAAACAAAACAGCAAATCAGTTGCAGATACAGTTGCATGGTTCAGTACTTGCATTAGTCTGTCTCTTCCTAATAGTTATTACTTTCCCCTGTTTCAGCAATTTGAAGGCGTGTCTCAATACATTATCAAAGTAAATAAAATCCTCAAGTCTTTAATGCGGGGCTTAATGAATGGTATGTCATGAACCACAGAACTCACATGGCATGACACCTGTCAAATCACAGTAAATGCTGATGGTTGAAGGTTAAAAATCACAGATAAATAGTACTGCATAATCACAGACAGACCATACTGCATTTTATTAAAGGAAGAAGGGGCCTGTTTTTTTCCATCAGATGCCCTACTTCAGGCTGGGTAATATCTGGTGTCTAACCAGACTGTATACATTCAAACTCAGATACACAGGTTTTTTTTCAGTCTGAGTGACTCTGAACTCGGAGTCAGTGAACTCGGAGTGCACACCGCAATAGCTGTCCAACTTTTACCATCATTTTTCAGCAGTGCAAATGAGTCCTATCGATGGTCAGTTAAAGGGTACATTTTGCTCCAAAATTCAGCAACAGTTTCTGAAAGTGCTCTGTAATTTTCCCACCTAGAAGTCCTGTTGCATTACTCAATAGGTGTAAATAGTGGTTATACCTTTATCTGAAACCATACCAGCTACACATTACACGTCAAACCAGCTTACGGCAGTAGAGCACTACTACATACCAAGATGTTTCTTGAGGACTGAAATGAATGAAGCATCAGTTACGCAGGGACAATAATAGAGGAATTTAACATACTAATAAAAAGAGGTGTCAACCCCATACATTCCATTCAAATACGCAATATCTCAAAAAGAATTTAAGGAGTTACCGGTAATTTAAGAGCGATACGTTTGAGTTCAGTTACTCCTGAATGTCTTGAACAGCTTTACTCCCTCCTGACCTACAACTCAGTGTAGCTTTGTACTATGCTTTTATTGTAACCAACCTAAAGGGGCTGGTTGTCCACGTATAACCCCATTCTTGGTTCTCTCCTCCAGGTCCATGACTTCCTTGTATATCAACTCTGAAAGCGCAGAAAAAAGATGGCAAAAAATGAATTTGCAAATCCAAGACTGGATCAATAATAAGTCTCCCATTAAAATGTACATCAAATGAATTTCATAGATTTAGTACTGTTCAGAATTAGGTTTGAACAACAGGCTGTGGGCTACGGAACAACTGTCAAGTGATATGAAAATGTACAACTCTTTTAAATTGGAGCTACAATGGCCCGATAGTACTCTAAGACTCTTCTGTCCAGGCTGCTTAGGGACCTGAGGATAAACTGAGTCTTAATCGCTCAGTTTTTATCAAAGACTTCTTTGGTACAGATAAACTCATCAGCAGGCTTCAAAGGAATAGGTAGGAACAAGCCAATACAACACTGGCATCCTTTTGACACACATTTGCCACTAAATTTCTTCAGCAACAACATCTAAAGGCCTAGATCACCATGAAATGCAATACAATTCTGGCACTCCAAATGAAACACCTTTATTTTCCAGTTACAGAAATTGCTCATCCTTAAATAGTTCAGAAATGCTTCTAACATGAATCAATCATACACCATGTGTTCTGGCTAGAAGGTTCCTAGGCTAATGGCAGCATATTACTCAGAAAATACTTCAGCTGTGAATCTATAAAGTAACAATAGAAAAAAAGGACTAAACATGTTAAATGCAACTCATAAGAGCTGACAGAATACTACTTCTTACCTGTCACTGGCAAACTAATGCAATGTACAGTTTGGAAGAAAAAAGCATTTAAGAATTACAATTTCAAGGGCTGTAGGAGTCTCAAAAGTAAACTTCATATTGCTTGAAATATCCTCAGCACATCTGACTCAAAAAGGAGATAACACTGCTTGGAAGGAGGAATTTCCACAATTCTCCTTATCTTTGCCTTTAAAATTAAAAGTCAGTTTCTAATAGAAAGCAACTTAAAAGTGTGGTAGTAGTGTCCATTAGTAGCCAACACAATGCAATGTCAAAAATGATTCATGAGACATTTGCCCTGCTTTTTTTTCCTCTGGGGATAAAAAGGTTATAGAAGTCTAATATCCCTTTCTGGACATTTTCAGTACAAAGTATTAGATTGCTCAATTGCACTAAGTTCTTGCTTGAATGCAGCATTTATAGCCTGCAATCTGGGCCTGCATTTTTATAGAACTAGAACCTCTGCAATAATACCAACCCTTTTAGAAGCACTTTCAAAATTAAGCATAAGCTTTCCAAGTAACAAATATGTTCCTCTTACACTTTATCATTTGACAGCTCATATATGACTAGGAAATATCTAGATTTCTACGGAGTATCTATGGTATCGTTTGTATATATATATTTCTATATAGTATCTATATAGTATGTATGTATAGATACTAAACCAGTACTGAACACTAAAGACCACGCTCTTGGAATTACGACTCTTATGTCATATTGCAATCCATTCGACACCTCAACCCCAGTTACTTCCTCAGGGTCCCATAGCTGATAACCTCCAGTGTCTCCCACACCAGCTGTAACTTCAACTACCTTGCCTATCACTAACACTCCTTATGGCTGCTTCTTTCAAATCCTCTGCTTGATTTAAAAGGAGTATAGTTACTGCTGGTATGTTCTTCACTTGAAGACTAGTGCTTCTACTTCAGACTTACATTACTCAAGCTCTTGCATCTTTTTCAGTTGTAGCAGTTTGTCCAGAAGAGTTACCCTCCCTAAAAACACTGCCTTCGTGATTTGCAAAATGTGACTGAAATGAGCAGATCTTAAGCTCACTACAAAGGTTCAGCACCTTTGCAGGAAAATATTTAGTGTCCCAGAAATTAAGAGGTTGTGAAGCACTGATCTATTCCCTTGCCAATCCAAGCAGTTTAAGTAAATACTATTAGGTTGCTCAGAAGAACCTGAACAACAGTAATCACTGTGCCTCAGCCTACTCCCAAAAGCCTGATTATACCTAAAATGTCCTTCTTACCTTTCCATTCTTCTATCGTGTGCTCCCTCTCATCTAGCTGTTTATCTGGTATCTTTGGTGGAGGCTGAAAAACAAAACTAACTCAGGATAAAGCAATCAAAATGGATACAAAACCAGAACAAATGAAAAATTAAAGTTAGCACTCAGATTATGAACCTGATCTAAAAAATACTGTATTTACATGGTCACATATTCTCTCATACTTGGACTTGGTCTGTTTTCTAGATGCTGCTACATGTTTTAAAGTTCTTCTGATTAACAGATTTGCTTACATTACTGTAATAATTAAAATAGAAACAGAACAGTCTGGTAAAAGAGTCCCTAAATACTGCCGTCTCCAGCCCAAGCAACCCTTTTTATCTACTTACTGTTAATTACCAACTTTTCCCTCTAGCTATTACAGATCAGCAGAACTCTAATTGCACCATTTACATCAAGTATCCTTTTCTATTCTTAGTGTGTCAACCACGTTCACCTACCACCTTTTAAAAAAAAGGATACTTTTTTCATAAAAGTATCATGAAATTCATGAAATTTTCCTGAAATAGAATCATAGAATAGTTAGGGTTGGAAAGGACCTTAAGATCATCTAGTTCCAACCCCCCTGCCATGAGCAGGGACACCACACGCTAAACCATGTCGCCCAAGGCTCTGTCCAGCCTGGCCTTGAACACCGCCAGGGTTGGAGCATTCATGACTTCCTTGGGCAACCCATTCCAGTGCCTCACCACCCTCACTGTGAAGAACTTCTTCCTTAGATCTAACCTAAAGTTCCCCTGTTTAAGTTTAAACCCATTACCCCTTGTCCTACCACTAGAGTCCCTAATGAAGAGTCCCTCCCCAGCATCCTTGTAGGCCCCCTTCAGATACTGGAAGGCTGCTATGAGGTCTCCACACAGCCTTCTCTTCTCCAGGCTGAACATGAATTTTAAAAAAAAAATAATTAATTAGTCCATTTGGTCATCAGTGTTAATAACTGAAAGCTCAAAATCTCATACTCTGATTTTGCTCAAACACAGTTTAAGAGTACTATCAATTGCTACAACTAACGAAAATATTTCTCTCACCCAAGGAGTAAATACCTCAGAAACCTACCAAGGGCAATCAAACCAAATAATGAAGCTTGATAAATTAGAATCCTATATCAAAGATTTCAGATGCATTACAACATGTCCAGGAGATTATATGCAATTATACATGAACATACACACACATACAGGTACTTCAGTTTGAACCCATTCCTAATACTATTTCTAATAAACATGTCTATCCATGTCAATAAAAATTATTATGGCTCATTTAAGCTTCTAGTGAAATGTGCAGATCAATCAATGATCTTTCAAGCAGTTATATCAAGCATCACAACAAATTTGCTTTAATACAGAACCTTCCTAACCAGAGACCCAAAACAAGAACTTACAGCTTCTGCTTCTGATGGATCATACCAAACATTGATGTATGGGTGCTGCAGGGCTTCATCCACAGAGATTCTTTTAGAAGCATCTATAACCAGCATTTTTGATAACAAATCCCTTGCTTGACTTGCTGCAAAAGTGAAATTTTCTATTTAGACCAGTGCCATACATAGTGCAATTAAACAGTATTTCAAAGCTCCTAAGGAGAGAAGAGCCAGAGTAAAAAAAATCCAGTTTTATATCTGTGCAACTCTCATTTAATTTGGGGTTTAGGAAAGTGGTCCATTCGATGGGAAAAAAAATAAAATTGAAGAGAATAACACAGTTGGGAAAGGGGCTGGACATGTTTCACTATGCATTTTCAGCATAAAGCACCCCTTAGTGTGATATCCTTAAGTAAAATATAACTCAGCTGGCAGCATAGCCTTGTCTGGAAGAGCAGTAGGCAAACACCTACAACCCCTCTCAGAGTTTAATGGAGAAAAAACTGTCATGTACTGTTACTCACAGAAAATATGGTGAGTCTGCGACTCCACTGAGTAGGTGACTTTTCAAACCAGTGAGTTATTTCAGTAACTACAGGATATCTATGTATTATGAACAGAAAACCTTTACTCTCATCCCTAGAGAAAGAAGATCTGCTCTGCCTACACAAATTCTAAGCCACACTCCTCCCACTCTTCTCTAAATCATGTTGGCACCTGTCATTGAAAGGAACATATATATTTCCTTCTCTTTATAAAGGTATCTCCAGAACAGGAGCTGTTTCAGAAATGAGAAAGCAGAGGTAAGCATACACCAGCATGCTCATCCACTCCCATAATCTTGTAATATTTAAATCCTTAGGCAGACAATGTCATAGTGAACAAAACCAAGATACATTTCTGTTCAACACATCATAGTTTTAAAACTTTTAAAATATAAAATATACAACACGCAGAAGATAGAGCTTACCTTTAAGCTTATTATGTTCAGAGTCAGCTGGGAAAAGGACATCTGGAAAGAGTTTTTCAAAACTATATCCAGCATATTTAGGTCTGTTCTCCACGTAAGTTCGGACTGTAGGCTGTAATTTCTTCATAAATTCAGGGCATGGTGTTCCTAGCTGCTCTATAACTTTATTCCATTGATCAATATCTAAGGTTATACAGCTAAGAAAAACACTGTGTCTAATTTTCGGCTAGAAAGTTACGTTAAAACCACATGAAATAACCAACAGAGACAAAACGCAGAAAATTATAAAAAAATATCAAGTTCACCATCATTAATTAGGACTATCTTAGAGAAAACAGTGAAACAAAGCAAGACTATGATAACGTAGTCAAGGCAACATGTATTTTACTCAAAATCATAATTAACTAGCAAAGGATATACTTCTGAGAAACAGAAAATTAAAAGGCTCACAAAATGTATTAAACAAATTTAAATAAAGGCATTGTTTGGGTTCTGGAGCAGACCTCACTTCCCAGTCTGAACACATATTCACAGTAGTCAAGCTACCCCTAAGAATTACTCCTGCAAGTGCTTTGTCCTTCGTTCTCATCTTGATACCTCAGCCCAGTCCTGGACTCTCCCAAGCTGGTGATTTTTCACTAATGACATGCAACATTGAGCACCAGTGGGCACACAGAGGATGGTATCCCGGCCCACACGTATCTATGACGATTTTGTCAGAGACTCAAATGCAGAGGTTATAAGGTTTCAAGGATGCATAAGGGAACATCTTAATTGAGAAGTTTACACAAGGTATGGGGAGATTGACTTGTTCTCGGCATAAGAATTTAAAACATGTTACTGAATAAGGAAACATTTGGTTCAGGAATTCCTAGTTGCGGATGGTTAGATACTGGGAGAGAGCTCAGGTAAAAATTTATATACACATTCATATATTCTCCCTAACCTTTTCTTTTTGGCTATCACCAAAATCTGGATACTGGGCTACATAAATTCAGTCAGATGTAGCAGGTCTGCTCTTACGTTCTTAAAACTTAACAGTAGACCTTTACATAGTGATTTTCAAGCTCTACAGTGCTTTAGTACAGGCCTTGGGGGGGAGGGAAGGGGGGAGAGTATTTACATTGTATGGCACTGAGCCTAAATTGAAAAGCCATGCTAGTAAACCAAATGCATAAAGCTAAGCACGGTGCAGCTCATGCAATGACAGAGCTGTGTGAAAGTTAGAATGCCCTGGATCTCTTCACTGTTCCTCAAAATTTTCACCCAATCTTCATCCCAAATGGGACTGTATCAATTATTAAACAGTTAACCTGCAGCAAAAGCAGGAAAAATTTCTGATGGCATCTAAAAAACTAGAGTGTAACCACTAGTAAAACAAGATGCCAAATTCCAATTAGATCCACTGATTTTAGCGATGATCCAGAGGTTTCAGCTCTATTCACTTGGAGCAGACCCTTTGTCTGAAGTATTGTTCACAGGACACACAGATACCACAAAGCCATTCATGGAACAGAGAGACAGAAGTGCCAGATATTTCTGAAAGCTGGTTGCAGGATCATTTCAGCATACAAAAATACAAAACTCCAGAGTGTAACTAATGAAGCAGGTTAGGAATTTTTGGTAAACATTTCCTATGGAATGTACAGAGTAACAACTGCTAACATGCTTGGGTAGTAAACAAGATTAGTAAGTTATTACACAGAACTGACCTCCAAAGCAAAAAAATCAATGCATGTGAACCAGTAAAACAGCACCTAAACAAAACAATCTGTCTTAAATGTGACAACACCCAAAAGCAATGGACAGACACACTGTGATAAACTGGGAAAAGAAAAAAGAAGAAAACAAAGAAAAAAGGAGGAAGGAAAAATAAGCCTGTTTGCCCAAGTGGTATTTTGTTCATCTTGCTTAGTATTAATCTCTAAAGACAGTCATACATATTAATGCTATGTTGTGGTTTTGCTTTAAGTGGTATAACTGTAGAAATTTTTGCAGCTTCCTGGAGCCAAAATAATGAACTTACGAATTGTACTTTAAAAAGGCAGTTTAAAACCAGTATTTTACAAATTAGAACCACCTTAATCTGGAACTATATTGCTGCAGTATCTTTTGACCCTTTACAACTATATCCTAGGCCAAAGGTAAGGATACGATCTGTACCAGGAAATAAAACACCACCTTTGATCATTTCTCCCATGATGCACCCAACTGACCAAATGTCAACTGAAAACAAAATGCAATGATATTAACATAAAAGATAGTTATTAAAATAAAGTAAATAAAAATATCTAGACACACAAACATGAAGTGACTATAAAAAGCGTGTGTAATGAAGATGAGTGAAGGTGAATGTATGCTAACTACAGGACCAGCAGAGACTATGTCCTACTGCTAGGTGCAGCCTGAATATAAATGAAGCTCTTAATTTTTTTTTAAGTATATCACAAGAAAAATCCATGTTCATTTAATAAAAAAAAATTGTACAATATGCATTTTCATGACACAACATCAATAAAAAGGTTAATCACTTCCTAACTAATTCAACCTGCTGCAGCAGCACAAGGATACAGTCCCTTCCTGGAAAGAGGATTTTGTGGCAAACCATTTCGCCCATAATGCACCCCACAGACCATAAATCCACTATGTTTGTAGCACAAAAAGAAGGAAAAGCAAAGCAAACGGTCATTTAAAATTAAAAGAAGCATAACATGACTGCATTCTATAAACTGCAGAGACAGCACAGGAAGAAGAGCAAGTCTTTATATTAATCAATGAAAACACTTTAAAATACACCATATATAAGGATTAGCTTTTAACTGTCTCAAATGCAAGGCAGAAAAACATCCTTTTGTTTAACACAGTGCTAGAGCAAGAGCAAGAGCTAGAGCAGAGAGAGAGAGAGGGATACACACGAATCAAGCAGAGTAAAGCCCTTCTCCAAGCTCTGAGGCTTGCAAAGCTACCTCTGCCAACAGCCTAGATTGAAGCACCAAAGGTAACTATTTCTTGGAAGTAATTCCATTGTAGTTGTAGGAATAATTTTTAAAGTAGCAAAGTAAACTGACCTTTAAAAAAATTGTGCATCTAAACAGTTTACACACTTAGGAAGAGAATTAATTGGTTATTAAACAGGAATTTAAATTTGCTGTGAAGTATTTCCTACAAGTCAGATTACCATGCATCTCTCTCTCCCTTTAAATAAAAAGCAAACAGAATCAGTAAAAGATCATTTAGAATTTTAGAGGATCAGTTAATGACAATATTAGTATGCTCCTATAGGATTTTCAGTTAAAATTATTTGTTTAAAAATATTTCTCCAGTTATGCTGAAATAACATCTTGTACAAAAGAAAAACTCAAAAGCAATTCTTTTTTTGGGGGTATGAAATACACATTTTCTACGTTACCTTAAAATAAATCACTCAAGACATACTCAAAGATGCAAAAGTTTACTTTTTACAGGTATGCCAATTTCTTCTGCAGTTGCTTTCAGAGATACTGTTAACTCTGTATGCACAAGTTTTCTTGAAGTTACGATAATGAAATTGTTATATTATAAATACTTTTATGTCAAACATGACACTGGAACTTCAATGAAGCAGATAAGGGGATTTAAATGGAACAGCTGTATACTAAAAATCACATGTAAAAGTTCTGAAGGAGCTGAACAATATCAAGCAAACAACGTTGCTTATTGTAAATATTCCTTCCTCCTTATTTATAGTTCCTCTAAAATAGTATCTAAATCATATGATAGGAGATCATAGTTGTACATATTAATAGGTCAAAATTAAGGGCCTGGTTCATTTAAAAAATGTTTGACAACATTTTATGACTAGTGGTGTTTTTTCTTTAAAAGCTCTTTTCAAATACTTAAAGAAGACCATATTCTTCGGCTTAGAGACCCAAAGATCAGCAACCAAGTTTGGCATTTGACTTTTAAAATAAAATTCTTTATATTGGCTTTTTCACCTGCAAAACAATCTGCTGCCATCAAAAACCAGAATATACCCAATTTTGTCATAATTAATGTCCAACGTGATAAAAATGACACCCATAATTGCATGGAGAAGTCTGGGAAGAGAAATAGCATGAGGCAATGACTTAACTTCATGAAGACAAACTATTTCAGAGGTGAAGGAAAACACTGGAAACCATTCTTCTGGTCATCCTACAAAACCAAACTTATGATGTTTGGGGGTGGTTTGGATTGCTGCTTTCATTAATCCAACAAAGCCTGTCTACTTATAGGTCTCTAACTTTTTTATTAAGCTATACTAACTGTACACTGAGGACTGCTCTTGTGAATAATTCTGTAAAAGACTGAGTAAAATCTCATTACAGATTTGAAAAATCTTTTTAAAAATCTACTGCTTGCCAGACTGTATTTTTTTCTTAAAAACCCCATTTTGAGATAAGTTACTGTTTTCTATAATGCTAAGAGAAAAAATAGCAAGTGAAAAGAAAGTAAAACCAGTGCACATACTAGGAAAGTCAGCAGTAGTTGTTTCAGATGGTTTAGGGCTTTCCTTGCTTTTCAGAGCTTCCTTCCTGATAACGATGCAAATAACTGTACATAAATCTAAGTATGTTAAGGCACATGTGCACGAGCTATTTTGGTGTCCTTCAGTTCTGAATTTTTTGCGTTTGCAAGGCCTGGTTTCTTAATGTAATACACTTAAATGTGCTTTATCTTCCTCAGTATCAAAACGTATGTAGAAGTTAACTCTATAAATGGTCTGTCTGTGATCTTTGTTACTTTTAAACCAAGTAAAATTTCCTATGTGGGTAGTACAGTACCAGAAGAATACTGCTCTGCAGTACACATCTCAATCATTAAAACATACATTGCAATCCTCCCACATAAGCTCAGCAAGCCACTGAAATGGCATATAGCTGCCAAATGACCCTATTCAACTAACTAAATGTAAATTTTCAATATTTAACTCTAAATTAAATAAGTTAACTTGTAATTTAATTATGAGTTTTAAAGGGATAAAATAGGCATTGATGTTAAAAGGTGAGGACCTTGGACAGCCCATGGTTCTTACTGTAAGTAGATCCTTGCTATCGGCCTCCCTATCAGGGTAGCTCCACAGTGAGGAAACTCGTCAGGCAGTGACTGAGTAACCAATTTATGCAGTAGCCTTTTAATGATGGAAATGCAGACTGACTTCTGACTAAGCCCACAGATTTACATTCTCCAGAAGTGTCACTCTCAACTCAAGAACCATGTATTTGGCTTTGGAAAGACGTGACAGTTTTTCATATGAAAGTAAATTTTCATTTATATTCTGGTTTGCTGCACTAAACAATACACTTTTGCTTAGGGAACAGGATTGTCATTAGCATGACATGGTGCTCTAGAACACAATCTATTTAACTTCAATTGTAACCTAATTAACATTTTAGTGGAAAGAAGGTTTCACACTTTCGCAACTCAAAATTACTTAATATTTAAGAGAAAAACGTAAAATGGGCAAGCTAAGTCAGAAAGCTTGTGACTTCCATTGTACCAATTCCTTCTGTAAGACAGCTGCATACCTCACATTACAGTTTTAGGTTCTTTTATCTAGTCTCTCTAAACTGGCCAATATAAAGTCTTGGGAAAAAACAAAGAAACTTCAATATTTATTAAAAAAAAAAAAAAAGACATTAAGCTTGGTCCACTCAACTTCTGACTTCTAAATTACGGGAAAAATAGCCAACCCTGGAGGCCATTTCAAGGAATGTACACCCTCTCATGCAAACTAATGATCCAAACAGATAAAAAACCACAGCCTTGGAAAAAGGTCTATTCTCATTCCTTTGAGCTGGGTTCTTTCCTTGTCGACACTGATAGGAGTTATTATTCTTGGCTTTTATAGATGACAAAAATCAACTCTCTATGCACACAGCAGCTATCGTTTACACACAACCTGAAGTCACTTTGTCGTAATGGTATCCAGTTGCCAGGCAAGTTTGCAGACTATATTAAGAACCCTGAAAGGAGAGCAAGCCCCAGTTGTGTCAGTAACCTGAGGAGCCATGCCTCACATCACCAGGAGACAGCTAACAAAACCTCAGGCATCACAGCATCATCTAATGGGCCTTACTGGAGGGCTAATCAATAGAGGGTTTAAAATACCTTAAGCAAATGGTGGCCTCTGTGAAGTGTGCCTGCCTGAGGTGGAAACACCAAGTGAGCTGAACTGACCACAGTGACAGCAGATCACTGAAATGGCAGCAGAACTGGGGCCACTACAACAGAATTTCAGGAATGACACATTACTTTTATTTCCTAAAGGATACTAGCTGTTTCATTCAGAAGATGCAATGTACTTTATCATATGTTCCCCTCAAATGCTGTACACTTTCCTTATATTCTCATAGAAGATATTGAGAGAAGGGCCACAGAGTGAGTATAAAGACATGGGATGTATGCAAGCAGAGGGACAAAAGCAACAAATTTCCTTAGAATTCATCCAAGGACCGGGGACCCCAAAGAATCTGTGATACTTCATGAAGGTACTCTCTGCCTTCTTAGCTCAAGATTTTGTTTTCAGCAACATTAATTAAGAATTTAGTGCGACAGGATTAAAGCAGGCTGGTTGCCACCATAGGTAGTTTTAGCTTGTCTGTTCATCAGTAGCCTTTAAGTTACCTATGTCCTGAAAAGCTACACTGAATATAGTTATTTAAACACTAACTTTAGGACACACATTTAGTGATGAATTACAATTTACATCCTCATGAGGAATAAAGTCAGGTGAAGGTATATCAAGGTACATACCACATATTAAGAAAATATATTTCCAATTCTTCCTGGATGAAACTTGACCTACTAGGCAAGTTATTTGAATTTTTAAACAAACAAGGCCCTCAATTTCTTCTCCTATTAAATGCAAACATTTCTAATGGGTTGAGTTGAATAAACAAATCCCTGTATCCAGAATCTGCATTTTGGTCACAAGGCTAATTTATAAAATTTTTACAGCTTGAAAAAAACATTAACATGTAAAATGTGGTGTGCCAAACGAAAAATAAAGCTATGCCAAAGAAAGACTATAGTTGCTGACCGTTTTCTTTGTATCCCATCCCTAGGATGACCTCTGGTGCTCTGTAGTAACGAGTCACTACATAAGGCGTCATCATAAAACTAGTTCCTGCAGTTCTGGCCAGTCCAAAGTCAAGAATCTTCAAAGTGCAGTCTGACTTTACTACTATATTACTGGGCTTTAAATCCTTTAAAAAGAAACATCATATATGACTGCTAAGACAAGCACAAAGTACTCTGTGGTTCACATTTTAAAAAGATAATACTGCTAACATTAAACCCCACATATACAACTAGGATATTGCTTAACTGCAGTTTCTTTTCCCCTCACATTAATTCATGTGCATTCAGCAGACTACAGATTAACTCCCTTAATGTGCCTGTAGATTTATATAGCAATTAAAGAAGGAAAATACAACCAGCATTACAAGATAGGTTAGCAATGTCTGAAATAAATTGAAGTTAGTAAGAAATGTTAGCTCTGAGGAAAGGTCTAGAAACTGCTCACTGGAACAACAGTTATTACTATGACGCAGAACACAAGTAACACGACAATTGCTGAAATAATTTGATGCAATAATCATCTTGATACAAGAATTACTAAAATTATAACATGAATGTAAAAAGTAGAAGGTTTCTTTCCTAGTTGAAGCTGCATTACCTCTTTTGAACCAATGCAGATGCTTCTCCGAACAGGAAGGAAATTCCCATCCTTACACAGATTTAGTTTCCCATGTAGGACTTGGTTTTATACTTATTTTGGTAACCAAACCCAAAAGGCACGATTGAAAAACTGCCAGAAATTAACACAACCATTAAACTGGAGTGGGAAATCCCCAGATACAGCTTCAGATCACTGTAGAAGTTTGGCAACTGTATTCTCTTCATCTGAACCCTAAAACCACAGGGACAACAGTGGCTTTTCAACATCTGTTTATACAAATACTACACAGACAGACTCAGTCATTATCTCGGGAGGATCTTACACACAACTGAATGTCACAGAGCAAATATTACAGAGTAACTTCAGAATAACTTTGCCATCATAAAATCATTCATAGCACACAGACTGACATAGATAAGATCTGGATCCTTCCTGCCTACACTCTACTAAGATTAATGAGAGAAAACCCTGAGATGCGGCAGAGAATTCCATCATTTGAGCTGCAGGCATTTGATAAGTAGCCCTATGTTTCACTGTTTCATAAAGACTTAAAAGTCTTTACAAGATACACTAGTTTTCATTTTTACTTGTATGGCTTTCAGCAAACTCCTCAGAAAGCTAAGAAAACTGTATTAAAGACAGAGAGAAAACCACAAAAGAGCTTCAGAACAACAGAATTTTAATGGGTAATTAAAAGTCTTGCATACTTACATATTCACACAGGCACTGCACACACACAAAGACTCTGCAGACAACTTTGACTTAAAAGATTTTAAACACCATGAATTAATTCAAGTGGTATAAGGCATTGCAGCTATTTAATATGCATGTTTCAGATCTGCTACAATCCTATCAGCTTTATTTTTGCACACTTCTATTATTTGGAGGCTGTTTGTTGCAAAGTCCTAAGTGCACGCCCGTAGTATTAACTACACTCATCCTCCTCAGGAATAACGCTGGAAATGCTAAAAGATCTTCACTTTGGAAGAGAAAAATCACGACAAGGACAAAACGCAAAAGCTTACAGAGTACTGTCCATTCTTAATTTCTGAACATCATGTAGTTGTCATGAAGCCTAGGAACATGATGTAATTCGCAATACAGAGCTGTCCTTCAAAATGATGAAGGCAAGAGTTGACTTACACTGCATCCAAATTCATGCTGGACCAATACCTTTTATGTTTTAAATAAACACAGTCTCAAAGGCTCCTGTAAGAGTGATCAGTTTACTTAGGCTGCATAAATACATCCAGAACCTATAGCAGAAGATATCTTTTCTAATCTTAAAAACGTAAAATGTCAGCACCTAAAAATATGAAGAAAGATTTGTGTGAAGGGCTTCCATAATGAGGAACCTTTGTTAAGTGCTCAAAATCAGGCAAAATGCAGTGTTTCAGAGCCTCCATGCAAAACTAATGAGACACTGTGTCCTTCAACAAGTCAGTGAGGCACAACTCTGCAATGCTGATCATCCATCCTCTTCAGACTGCAAAATATAAATGAATATGTACTTCTACAGTTGCTGGAAACTCTGTCTCTGCAACATATTTTGAACACAGTAATGTTAATTTGCCATCATATGTTAAAGGTGTAAAGCTACACTCAAATCTTTACCAAAATCAAATCCTTATACACTGATGTGGCCGCTAAGTTTGTCTCCTACAACTTTAAGGTGAAATTGTCTAAAACAGTATCTGCCTTGTTTGGTGTCACCAGTTTGCTATGAAAAAAATCACTTATTTCTGTGGCAGGCAGTACCCAGTAAGGAGGCACATACACAGATTGTTGTAATTTCAGTCATTCAACAAGCTTTCAAAAAGTTGCTGAGATGCTGAGATTATCGCAGCTGTCTTAAAAGCAGAAGAACCCAGTTAAAAACCACGTGAAACTACCAACACCAAAAAAAGCTTAAAGCTTTAGAGGATACTAAAAAAGTACACTAAATTCACAGACAGAATGTGTCACGGGCAGCCACAGTAGGGCAGACTATGTTTAAGGAGTAACTAGTTCCTTAGACATTAAGGACAGTGGTACTGGAAGCCTAGGAGAGTGCTATAAAGAGTTACTATTGCAGCCACATGACCTCTTCCCAAGCACGCCCTCTTTGCCTTCTGAGGTTTTGTTTGACTTGTTCCACAGAGAAACAGGATTTTGATACATTACACCTTGAAACATAAAGGCATAACAAACACAGCAGGTAAGCAATGCAAACATTTTGCCTGAACATACCTAATCTTTTAACAAAGTCTGAGAAGAAGCTGTCAGCTGAAAATGTACAATGAAGACATGCAAGTGAAATGTATCTGCCCATGTCCTTCAAAAGCATTCATGCATATATGTGTTACTATTTACACAGCAATTGTATCTATAGTCTCTTTGGAATAGCTTATCCCTGTACCAATATGAAGCATTTCAAAGACTTCACCCGTATCTACACAGGCAGGAAATCTATCCTCAAAGCAGTTCTTATTCCTGCCCAACTGTGTGAATAGTTACTTTTTTTTTATAAATGTCTGAGTGTTTATATTTATCTATGACTTCTACAGGCTCAATGGTTTGACACCTGCTTTATAGGAGTAGAAGCTGCCCTTGAAACAAAGTTTTAGAAGCTCCCTCCTGCCTGCACCAAGATGCACAGAAAGAGATGCTCTTACATTACCTACTCTAGAACAGCCATAAAATAGGAAGTTTTCAAGAAACAAAGATGACCTAGGAGAACCTGCAGCACAGCCAGGTATTGAAGAGACCAGAAAATGTCAAGCTGCATACAAACCCATAATTTCAATCCTATGGGCACATGCATTAGGACATAAAAACCTGCACAACCTCAGTAATATACAATATAATACCACAACTGTGGTACGTGAAGTAACGTAGTCCTGCCTGCCATTCGCAGAATAACGCAAGAAGCCCACCGACCTCTTTCAATGTCTACAAAGAAACACAGGGTGCAATGCCTGGTTGAAGGTTATGCTTCTGCCCACCCTCCCTTGCCCATCTCTTTCAAACACAGCAGTTAAGGACAAACTGCAAGCAAGAAGGAAGCCATCACATTCCCTCCTTGAGCTCTTCAATGGAATAAGGCAGCCAATGTGTACTGTACTACAGCTAGCTGAGAAAAAGGAAGCAGTGTTTGCCCATTCAAACCGTATTCTCTATTCAAACAATTGTCCTAGTTCCCTTGAGGAGAAAAACGGAAAACTGGAGTATCATATTGTCAGACACAGCTTGCAGGCCATACAACATGTCAGTCACAATGAGGTGGACTACTGAATTGTACAAGCATCCTAACATAGCGGCTCCTGCGCTAGCACTCAGAATTGTCATTCATGATTTGCTTTGCTGTGTATTTTCCAATGAGTAAGGCTATGTCTCACTGTCTGAAAGCATCACAAGTTTAATTATATCTTCTGCATAATTTCAGAAATGAAAACTCTAAAAAATTATCATGAAAAATGTAGCACTGCAGAAATAGAAGCTTACAATTCCCCAAAATAGCAGAGATTATATCTGAAAAGTTGTAACTAGACAATCTCAAGCAATCTTTACAGTACATATAAACAGATGTGTGAAATGTTCAATGTGAACAGGCCAACTTACATTCAGAATGTCTTGACTGGATTGCAACACACGCATGCCATTTGAAAAGCAGTAGTCAGTTTTGCCTGAGGACAATCTGAGTGAATGCTCTGTGACACACAGGTATATGAAAGTTCCACTTACAGGTCTTAATCATCATCTGTTTATCTGGAGACTTCAGATATTTATTCGTTACTCTGCTACTAAAATAAAGTGGGCAGTTCTTTCAGAAGATGGGATTTCAGGTTTGGTTACCAAAACAGTAAAGGCAGAGACACTTTCAGATATTCTTTCCTGCTATGACTACTAAAACAGAACACGATATAGAATTAGAGGAGGTAACTCACTTCAAAAAATCGTTATTTGTCCTGTTCAGATTATTATCAAATCAAACATTCAAAAGGTTCATTCAAGAATTACAGTGGAAACGTGAAGATTCCCTTTCAGCTTTCTCTCTCTGCCTATGGGACAGCCTATGTATCACCCTTTCTGCTCATATGTTTTATTTTTTTCTGTCTTTAACTACTCAAGGCCAAACCAGGTGCAATGGAAATTATCCTCACTTAAGTTCACTTACCCTATGTATAATTCCAGCTGAATGAAGATGTTTGATACCACATAGCATTTGATAAAGAAGATAGGACATTCGTTCATGGTCGAGCTCCATCTGAATCACTTGGCAGAGATTTGCATCCATGAGCTCCATCACTATGTAGCTTATGAAGAAAAGAAAAAAAGAATAATAAACAGGTAATACTGTCATTTTATTGTATTCTTTCCCTTGCTCATCTTTCTGTGTGAATATTTTTAAAATTAAATCCCAGCTTTATTTCAAATCAGACTTACACGTCTTGAAATTCTTCCAGGGATTTTTGTGGTGTGAACACATTCAGTAGGCCAATTATCTGTAGGAAGAGAGAGAGGAAGTATAACTGCACCATAACAATAGCAAAGTTGCAAAGTCAGCATTTCAAAATTGATACCCATTATTCTGATGAGATCCTCCTGGTACACATTGAAGCTCAAGATGCTCAGTGGCTCAACCAGGCCTAATATGCTGTAATAGATACTAATATTGTAGAAAGAGTATTTTTCCTCCACAGATCACATAATCAAAAAACACTCTGTGCATTAACAAGATAGTATTAAAAGCTTGAAACCTAAGGAAGTTAGTCAGTCTTCCCCTGCCTCGTACTTTCAGTTTGAAGAGAGCTGGAAAGACTTTTATTGCATATGAAGAAAAATAAAATTGAAAACTGACAGGCTACCTAAGAAATACAACTTTGGCATTGACAGAGGTGAAGCAACAACCCCACTCAAAGAGAAAAAACAGTTCTTGGAGCTGCTTTAGGACATTTCCCAGTTGCTAAGAATGGATGGGGGGTGTGCAGAAACAGGTTAATCTACTACTCAGCAAGAGCCAAGGCTTGCAACTGTTTATCATCATACAAATTATGCTATTAGGTAAAACTTCCTTCAGAGGATCCACATATAAACCATCTCTGTCTTAGAAAAAATACAAAATTTTCCCAAATAGCTGAGAGACAGAGTAAGTCTTCTATGACTCTTTCCTTCCCTAGCAGCCGTTTTATCTTGCTGAAGAGGAATTAAGAGGGAAGGTGAGAAAGACTGCACACAGCCAACTATGAAAGAGAAAACGGACAATACCAGCCCTCTGTAGCTCACCTCTGATAAATTTAGCATTTATTATTCTCTCCCCTCTGTGGTGTAGACCAGATCTTCTGTGATCTGCTCTACTCCACAGCTTTGCAAGCATCAGACAGCTCCTGCACCAGAAAAAAAACCCTGTAGAATTATTACAGCCTTTGTTCTCCTGTCTGTCTAACAGCTGCCACAGAAACAAAAGGATGCGCTTACCACTCATGGTATTCTTATTTGCCAGCTGCTTGTAAAATGTAGCAATGTAACACCGACTCCCTACCTGAGTTTGAAGGGGGTATTTAAAGATTGGGCAGGTATTAAAACTAGTAAATAATAGCTCTTCTGAAAGATCCTTCTGTACTTATCATGGAGATATAACTATGCAACGAAAATCTCTATAATCTAGTGAGCGTGTCATCCTCTGAAGGCACTTTTAAGACTTTTAAGACTTCTAGTTAACTCTTTAACATTTAAAGCAGGACTAAGGACTCACATTTTTGTGATTAACGCACTTCATAAGAACAAGCTCTCTGTAGGCTCTTTTAGCATGAGTTTGGTTCTGAAACGGTCGGCTTAACTTCTTGATTGCAACATTGCGTTCAAGGATGGCATCGTAAGCTGCACTGTAATTAAAAATAACATTATTATATCTCAGTGTCAAGGTCCTTTAAGCCATGCCAGTTGCCACCTTTTTCAGATACCTGATATTATGTCTGCAGATAAACCAAATTTCCACTGTTACTCACCTTTAGGGAGTGTAATAGTGAAGAATGCAACAGCTCTTCTGAGTGATTCAAAATTTAGAAATGCTTCCCACCTTCCTAGTATTAACGCATGACAATCTCCACAAAATAATGCAGGATCTCTGCTTCCTAAAATACCTTACTAAAGATACTGATTTTTGGTCACTCATTGGCACTCAAGAACAGACCACCTAAAAATATCCAAAGCACTTCAAACACAAAAAGCACATCAATTTCACATAAAATCTTCACACTGAAAGGAAGGGAGAAGGAGAGAGAAAAAGTAGGTTAAATAAAGGTCCCATGCTTTCACTTACACAGTTGCTTAATGTCCTTACGACAATGAGAGCATCAATGTCAAGATAAACAAAAATTAGGAAAGCTTTAACATATTGATGTCACTGGCTTTTACTTGGTGAAAAGAAAGAGTAACACTTTGTTTGCAGACTAGTGCCAAGACCGTCATATGAGTCAGTGACACAGGCTGTTTAACTGATGTGAGGCTGTTACTGAGGACAACTCCAAAATGTATCATGTTACCATTACAGGAAGGCATGGATTTTGTTTCCCATAAGAAGTAATACAACAGCTGACTACCACACAGACTCAGGAAATATTTATCAGTTACTAAGACAGCCTCAGCAGGATAAACACTGTTTTCTTGTCTCTTATCAAGAATGGTATGCAAACCTAATGAAGATCATCTGCCAATAGATGATCAGCAGCTACGAAATCCAACTCATTACTTCAAAAAGAAATAAACCAAACAACAACAACAAAAAAAAACCACTACACAAACCTCAAACAAAAACAGAGAAAAAATACCATGTTGTCTACATAACATATAGGCTTGAATTTATTTTTTTTTATTTTTTTAAACATTTCACTAGAACCTCTAGTACTTACTGAAGAAAGAAAAAACAGAAACAACATATACTGGTAACTTTCATTGGTTTAGATTTTCCACTATCTGGAATTTCCCCTGCTTACCCCCAAGATTAGGAATATCTTATGAAAGACAGTTAGGAAAGATTGACAACATTGGACTCCTGTATCAGTCTTTAAACTTCTGCATCTCTAGTACATAATGATAGCCTTAGAGTCTGTTGCAGTATTAGATATGGTTGAACCTTTAGGACATCTACTTAATATTCCTCCAAATCAAGTTCATGTTTTTAAAGCAGAACAAAAACAACAACAACAAAACCCCAACAACAAAAAAACCCACCCAGATCACAAGAATTACACTCTTATCTCCTCCAGACACAGGCAAGATTTAACCATATGAGCACTCCAGTCCTTCTCAGCATAAACAGAACAGTTTAACTAAAACAGTTTAACATAAAACATAGCTTACCACTAGCAGCAATTACAGAATGACCCAAGAATAACCACATGGTCAGATTTGGATCTCAGCTTTAGAAGGGGCAGAAAATTTGGAAAACAGGCAGTAACATATGACTGGGAATCAGAAGGACAGTAATAATATCTAAAGCTTTTGCAGGTATTCCTATAAACAAACTCTAGTCAAACAACTATCTACATCCTCATTATACTAACCCATATGAAAATAAAATACAGGTAAGATTTTTGCTATTTACAGACCAAATAACCTTTATGTCAGAAGTTACTATTTCAAAACCAACTGTTTCTTAGAGTACCTGCCTTCAAGTTTTCATTTGCACTAAAGACAGTTTCATTATTAACCCAGCTAAAACACAAATACAAATTAAAAATCCACCTATATTACATATGCTGATCAAACAAGATCAAGGTAGTAAAGAGGTTACAGGGAAAAGTAAGATTAAGAAGAGTATGCTTTTCCCTACCTTTCTCTTCCTCAATGTTTCTTTGGTATTTTTAGGTTCCTGGTAAGCATCTTAAGAGTTACAACAAATTGGAAAATCTGCAAGTTCCTGTTCTATCTGCCTCCTTTTCTTGAACATTCAAAAAAACTCAGAAGTTGCTTAAACAAACACTTATCTCTGGGACAATGTCGCCACCCAGGAAACAGTGACTAGAAACAGCTACTGCTCTCCAATCTTTTATCAATCAGACACTCTTCAGTTTACAACAGAACTCTTATTCAAAGAATTACATTGTAAAATCATATTTTCTTAAACTTGCATCAGGTATTTTACATATTACAATGACAGTCAGTATCACAAGTGCTTACTAACCAGTATGATTATGAAACTAAGTGAAACTGGCTCCTAACAAACAATTTTAAGAAGTACAAGGATTTACAAGCAGCAAATGTTATATAGAGTATTTCTGGCTTCTACTTCACTGTAAACTGTGTGGCATGGGATTAGGATTAGTTTCTTAATCCATTTTTTATTTTGCCCCATTAATTTATGGGACTCAGCACAGCCGGATGAATGTGCACAGAAGGGCATCAGGAAAGGACATAGGTCAAAAAGCAACACCAACAGCCCTTGCTGAGGAAAAACAGCAAACTACTACTGCCATTTTGCACATAAATGTTGTTTTCCACACTCCTACTCAGTAACATACAACAGTTAAAGGACTCAGAAAATTCTATTCAGGGAACGTACAAGCACATTTACATTTTAAAGAAACCTTACCATACTATGCCTTGTGCTCCTGACCCTATTGGTTTTAAATTTTGATACCGTTTCAATACAGTAAAAGTAGAATCTCCAATTTCAACACTGTAGAAATTGTTGTCACGCTTGCTTCTGCTCATGACGGCAACTCAGTTAGATCACTTCATCCAAATTTTGCTTCTGGCCTGTAAAGAAATAAAATTTGAAAAACTAAGATTTTACAACTCTATGTAATCTGACAAAAGGCAAAGTTCCTTATAATGCACAGAAGACACTTTCCCCCGTAAATTCTATATGCAAATGTACGTTCTTTTTAATGTCTACAGGAATGTGATGGCATGTGTTTGAAATGTTTCATTTTTAGGAACGTTCCTAAGATACTATTCTAAAAGGGCAATAAAAAAGTAAACAGATGGTAGCAAAAATATTAGATAACAATGACAAAAGATTAAAAGGCAGGAAGCTACATGTCATCCAGAGAGCTCCAAGAGTTCTACCACCCCTTCACATACACACGTGCAGCAAGGAAGGAGGGTTTGCACCAGACACCCCCCAGAGCTCCCTTCCAATCTAATTGTTGCATGACTGTAATCACGAAAGTGACAAAACAGCAACAACTCTTCCAGACACTGCAATCACCAAAATGGTCTTGGTCACAACTGCCAGGAATACATATAACTGATGTGGCAACACATGCAGGCAACCTAGGCCAGAAAAATAAAACTGGCCTTATGATGGATCTCACATAGTCCTACCAATAATCAGGGGAAGGGAGAAGAGGAGTAAGAAAAAAGGATGTGTAGTCCATCAAAATCTCTTCATACTAAAAAAAGGTAGGCAAGATTTCGATGCACACATCCACAGGAGAAAAAAAAACTGCATGGTGGCTTTTACTGTATAATATCCTGTTTCTTTGATGATAACTGTGTATTTACAATTTTCTCTTTACATGGGTTTTGGGTATAGCTGCAATAGACGTCTAGCGGTGCAAATTCCTGTTTACGATAAGAACTTCTTAATTTCTTCAAGAGTAACAGCACGCTGTCTGCCTCTGTCACTAACTTAAGGAAGCATTTTCCCATATTTATTATTCAACAGCCCCAAACAGATTCTTCGCTTCCCTATGCCATGACACTACACATTTGTTAGATTTTAAACAAGCTTTGAAAATACAAACAGTTGTCTTTGTTTTGGCTGGTATAGAGTTAACTTTCTTCCTAGCTGGGACGGAGCAGAGCCAGGACAGCTGACCAGAACTAGCCAAAGGGGTATTCCATACCATAGAACTTCATGCTCAGTATATAAACTCCTGATCAGGTTGCCCAAGGTGGCATACAGTAAACACCCACAACAATGAGCAATTGTATTGTGCATCACTTGTCTGAGGGTTTATTTCTCTCCCTTTCCTTTTCATTACAATTATTATTATTATGGTTGTTGTGGCTATTATTATTGTTGTTATTATTTACTTTTTTCAATTATTAAACTGCTCTTATCTCAACCCACAGGTTTTACATTTTTACACTTCTCCTCCCCATCTCAGCAGAGGCATGGATGGGGAACAGATCTGTGGTCCTTGGCTGCTGTCTGGGGTTAAACCACAACACGTGGCCTCCAAAAATAATCACAAATGTTGTACAAAAAGAATTATTTAAAGAACCCGTTAACTTACCAAATTCCACTTTCAATTAGTTAACCTGCATTCATTTCAGCTATTCAGGTGCACTAAAAAGCGCTCTGAAGCTCTAAAAAGCACACATTTTAACTATATTATAAAATAGAAATGCAGAATTATCTTAACTGGCATAATCTCAAAAGAAACATCTATTAAACAAGCCACTTTACCAAAATACTATAAAAAATTGAGTCTCTCACAAAGACTTGATATCAAATGAGTGTATTAACAGTATTGTTAAAGGCTTCCTTCTCCAATTCACAGGGGAAGCACAGCTGGACAACAGGGGTTTTTTTGTGGAGGCCACATGTTGACAGGGGAAGCATAACTGGACAAAAACTGTTGTCCAGCACAAGAAAAACTGTATACAAGCTGGGGATTCAGACTTTAAATGGTAGCTCTATGGCACAGAGGTAGGCTTACCAGAGGGAGCCAAAAAGCCCTATTTCTAAGCAATACATAAGACTATAGAATCATAGACTACTTAGGGTTGGAAAGGACCGTAAGATCATCTAGTTCCAACCCCCCTGCCATAAGCAGGGACACCTCGCACTAAACCATGTCGCCCAAGACTCCGTCCAACCTGGCCTTGAACACTGCCAGGGTCAGAGCATTCACAACTTCCTTGGGCAACCCATTCTAGTGCCTCACCACCCTCACTGTGAAGAACTTCTTCCTTAGATCTAACCTAAACTTCCCCTGTTTAAGTTTGAAGCCATTACCCCTTGTCCTACCACTAGAGTCCCTAACAAAGAGTCCCTTCTCCAGCATCCTTGTAGGCCCCCTTCAGATATTGGAAGGCTGCCATGAAGTCTCTTTTCCGACCTTCTCTTCTCCAGGCTGAACAGCCCCAACTTTCTCAGCCTGTCTTCATATGGGAAGTGCTCCAGCCCTCTTATCACCCTCGTGGCCCTCCTCTGGACTTGCTCCAACAGCTCCAAGTCCTTCTTACGTTGAGGACACCAGAACTGTACAGAAGTGGGGTCTCACAAGAGTAGAGTAGAGGGACAGGATCAACCCCTTTGACCTGCTGGACCATTCCCAGGTCTTTCTTCCCTATCCCTTTTATCACTGCAGCTTTGGACTCTACCTCTTTCTCAACACTTTCTTCACAGACATAATTATACAAAGCTTTGGAATAAAGATGTTCAACAAATACATAATAAGAAAAAAAAACACATTGAATTAGGAAAGGGAAAATTTGTTACAGAAGGTATGCAATCAGCTGAACAAATTTTTGAAAAACAGAAAACAAAGAATGCAGACAATAATTCACACAATCCTACATCTGTTCTGCATCAGCTGAGAAAAAGAACTATTGAGTTTACCCACTTAAACTGTATTAAGATGTAGTGACATTGAACAATGTAGGATTAAATGGAACAGCTTAGTAGGTAGAGTTCTGCTGTTTGGTATCAGCATCAAGATAATGAGTTTAATAATTCACTTTGGATAAATCATCAGAAAGTAATGCACGAAGGACTGATTCCCTCCATTCAAGATTTTCAGGTGAGTATTGATATCTTCCCATTTAAAGGTCAGTATTTCGCATAGCCAAATCCAAGTATTTAATTGAATTTTCTTTCAATTTGGTAAACCTCAGAGATCAAAGGCTGAAACAAAGCAAATACAGTTTAAGAGAAGGATCTTGAGAGACAGTATTCTCTTAGAAACAGATTTTACATGTAGACCACACACGGTATTATTACCATGCAAATTTTATTGCCTTAAAGCTTTGTCATTTGCTGCGTGTTCAATATTCTAAAATATGCTTGGTATTACATACTGGGAAACCTGTATTTACTAACCATTTTATAACCCAAAACAGTATCTTGGCATATTCCAGCATATAAAAGAAATCATTACTTATTTTTACTGAGGTTAGAAAAAGAAAAAATTATGTATGTAATCTTTCTGTAATAAAGCTTTCACTCCATTCTGAATATATCAGCTTTGCAGTCACCTAGGTACTGCCTATAACCAATTACCCTACCCTCTCTGCTCCAAAGATAAATGAAAAAAAATCAAATCCAACCCATCTGTATACTAAGTTTAAGCTTCATAATTAAAAAGTCCTCACTCTCCTACAGTAGCTATGCTGATCCTAAAAAAACCCAAGTCTGTGACAAGGTTTGGTATGCAAATTCTCTCTTTCACTTTAGCCAGTGACTGAATCATGAATAGAGATCATCAGGAAGCATTACACTCTCACGGTCCATTCCCACACACTCTGCAGGTGTCTCCTGAAGCAAAGCCAGGGAAGATGGGGAATCTGCCCACTGGCCAGAGAAAGCACAAAGGGCAGTTTTGCCTATGCATGAGTACTGGTGGCAAAGTATTTGGCTGATAGACAGCTTTAATCAGGACTACTACATGCAGGAGGCACCAGCCCAGCATTCTCACTCATTCTAGGCTGAGTTTCCCCTTCTTCAACAATCTTTGGTTTTGCCACTTCCACTCCCTGCTCTGCATAAGGAACAGAAAGCTCACCCCTCCCAAAGAGCGGTGTCCTCACCTGCCTTTCCATACCCATGGAGAAAAGCAGGCTTATCTACAGAAGGTGTGTGTCTAACTAGGCTTTTTCAAGCCTCACAGTAAGTACAAGATGTTTTTGGTTCCCAAGCTCGAAATCACTTAGAGGCAAAGTTTCTTTTCATTAGATTGCCTAAATAGAGAAAGGAAACATCTACAATATCTACATCAACAGTCAAAAAATACTTACATTCAAAAATTCAAATAGTTTAGATCTATTTAAGTAGCTATTAAAAAAAAAAGTAGTCAAAAAACTAAACCAAAAACAAAAACAAAAAAAAAAAAAAAAAACCAACCCAAAACAAAACAAAAAACCCCACATAAAACCCCATATAAATCTGCTAAACTTTCCAGTCTAGAACAGCTTGCCCAGAGAAGCTGGGGCTGCCCCATCCCTGGAAGTACTCAAGGCCAGATTGGATGGGCTTGGAGCAATCTGGTCTAGTGGGAGGTGTCTCTGCCCATGGCAGGGGAGTTGGAACTGGATGGTATTTAAGGTCACTTCCAACACAAACCATTCTATGATTCTATCTTAATTTAACACAAGTTAAAAACTTTTGCTGTCAATGGTTTAATTATAATGGGTTACTTAAAAAAGAAGGAGCTAAGTGATTGAGGGACATGATTCAGTGATAGATGTAATTAAATTTGCCTCTACCCTGCTGTAAAATTCACCAACTGATGTCACTCATGACATCTAGAACTTAAATCTAAAAACAAACAAAACCCAAACCAAACCAAGAAAAACTGCCACAACAAACCCAAACAAAAACCTCAATTAGTAAATAAAGAAAGAAATAAAATAGAAAAAACATAGCATTCTATAAAAGCATTATCAGATGATGGTTTGAAAGACTTTTCCTACTACTGGACCTTTTAAAATGTTGTTAAAAAAGTGTGCCATATGTTGCTTCTGAGTAGCACTGAACAGCCTACAGTGCACTGTATATTTCTACTGACAGTTGAAAAATCTCATCC